AAAACTTAGTAGATCCTAAGGTCTCTCTGCAGATAATGAAAACTAAGTAGAACCTAAGGTCTCTCTGCAGATAATGAAAACCAAGTAGATCGTAAGGTCTCTCTGCAGATAATGAAAACTAAGTAGATCCTAAGGTCTCTCTGCAGATAATGAAAACTAAGTAGATCCTAAGGTCTCTCTGCAGATAATGAAAACTAAGTAGATCCTAAGGTCTCTCTGCAGATAATGAAAACTAAGTAGAACCTAAGGTCTCTCTGCAGATAATGTTAAATCAAGTAGATCCAATGTATGTGTACTACATATGTATGCTCTATGAAAACATTTTAAATCGCCGATGAGTGAAGGTTTTAATTCCGAAACATCCAAAGTTAAACATTTCATTTTACCCTGGCAATACTGTTTTTAACCAATTCACTGTGGCTGGTACATATATGACTTCTAAATGTTTTTTCTGTTCACTGAGCCAACTTGTCAGAGTCAATGCTATCTACTACATCCAGCTTCAGTGAAGTTTCCAGCCGCAGCAGTGAGATATTGTTGTACTGGCCTCTCCGACATTTGGAGAGAAACTGATGCATAGAAAACAGAAATAACTGACTTACGTTATGGAAACATATAGAACAATGTGGATAGATAATAACACCACAAAAATTTACAATCTAATACCCTGCACGGGAATTTTAAAAGCAAGAATATACATGTGTTGCAGTGAACAGAAACAAATTTGAAGACTGTATATGTACCAGCCACAGTGAATGGGTTAATAAGAATTAATTTTCTGTCTAATAGATCTACTTCAAAACTGCAAAAAATAAAAAAAACAACAGAGAAACAAATTTATTACATCTAAAGATAACTGGAATAGATCCTGTAAAGCAGACTATATTACCATAACACCAGCTGCTTGTAGTAAACAAAAATGAACAGAAACTATGACCACATGAGGCTAGATAATACAGTCTTTGAATGATGTAATAGCAATGAAATCTGTACAAAATAAGAAAATAACAAGTCACAGTTACACATTCACAGCTTTACAAAATTAACATTCATATAAAAAATTGTGCATTCAAATTGTTAGTTTATGAAAAACTGGAGTCACATCAGATCTCCAGAAAAATGTTTATATTTCTAGTTTTTGTAAATTGAAAAAACTACTTTGAAGAAGATAATTTTTTAACTTCCATTCAACAGAAACTACATATAGCTACAGTTGATATTTTTATCATTTATAGTTGGGCAAGATAGCCTATAAAAAAAGTGGAACTAATCCCTAAGAGAAGTTGGCACAAGAATAAAGATTTTAAAAAAAACATAGATCTTAATTAACAAGAGAAGTTACATAATTTGTTTTGTTTTGATGTAGAATTCTTTACTCACCACTAATAACCTGGTATAAATGCTTTGGATTAGTGTGACATACCATCACAATTAATATGTATTATTATTTAGCAAGCTAACTAGTTATGTAAACTGTTATTAATTGCTTTTCTTCATCAAAAAAATAACACAAAGTCGGAGAGCTCAAGTCCAATGAAACAGGTCAGTGTATGGTATTTTTCATCTAACTGATGACTACGTACATCTCTTTATGGTGCCAGGTCAGTTTCTGTTGGCCTAATCTATGCTTGGACAAGTGAAGCAAATAAAGTAGGCTTCATAAGGTGGTGGAATGTAAGCAGATTGTTTGGTTTTGATGTATAGTCACTGAAATTCATGGAAGAGCTTGGCACTGGTTGACCTGACACTGTAGGAGGAGCAGAGATGACTGGAGGAGTGGGTATTGGTGGATCTGAAACCAAAGGAATTAATAAGATCTATATTTACCCTAACAAGTTATAACTTACAATGATATTTGTCTTAAGACATTAGTATTAGACCTTATGACAAATATAACTGTAAATAAACTTCACTGGCTTATAAATAGTACACACAACATAAGTTATAATTTACCCTAACAACTATCATTACCCCAGTGACACCTGCATTTGGTTTTAATAAATGGTTTTCTACAATTAAATAGTTTTTAGAATATTTATATTTATAAAAATACAACCTCACGAGTCTCTTGATATTATTGTCTTCATTAACCAAGACAGCTCATGTTAATCTGTAAGTATGCCAGTTGAGGTTTGTTTTAAAATGAAAGTGTGATATTATTTTAAAAGGAGTGTATTTACTGATCATAGACAGAGGACAAAGAAGGAAAACCATATGAATCTAATCTCTAAGAGTTGAGAAAATAATACTTTCAATTCAATAACACCTCTTTTACTTTCATTCTGTTCTAATACACAACTTGGCAGATATGATTCTTTCCAAACCATTTGATATCATTAGTTAAGAGATTTATTATGGTTATGTATAAAACAAAATCAAGATGTTTCTATTTTACACAAATACAATGAGATAGCCACGAATGACTAATGTTTCTTGTAATTATACCCCAAGTGTGTTAATGATGTGGTTTCCATCAGTAGCTTGTATTTTGCTAAAATGTCACTTGATACAATGGTTTTGTTTGACTTAGAGTAAAGCCACGTTGGACTATCTGCTGTGTTAAACGTGGAGAATTGAACCCCAGCTTCTAACATTATAAGTCCGTAGGCTTACCACCATCCCACTGGGAAATACTATTGTTTTAATTAGATTAAAAATTGGTCATATGCATATAAAAAACTTCATAACATATTTAAATCTGTTAGTGTGAATTTGCTTAGCCAACACGGTAATAATTTTTAGCTCTTTAATTATTCATAACATATTTAAATCTGTTAGTGTGAATTTACTTAGCCAACACGGTAATAATTTTTAGCTGTCTCTTTAATTATTTATTAATGAAATAGAAAATGTGATTAAAAAACTATGAGAACTAACCCTAAAAAGGTGTAATCATAATTTTTAAAAAAATCATAAGCTCCTTCGTAGAAACAAATTGTTTTGCAATATTCTGAATGAAACGAAACAATGCACATTTATCAACAAAACTACTCAAAGAAAAACATCCTCATCGCATGCATTAATTTTGTCAAGTACGAATCTTACTAGATGGTTCTTGGTAGGCTCCCATAGAATATGTTGTTGGTGGGACACCTGGTGAGAAGTGTGGAGGTACCATCATTGGAGGTGGTCTAGTAGTATCTGCGGGTGGTGGAGCTCTCGGGGGCATAAAACCAGCACCCATTGCTGGCTGAGGTATCTAAAAACCCAAAAAAATATCAGGTTTGGTAAATCAAATCCTTAAAGATGCTGCTCTCTAGTGGGAATAAATTAACTGCACAACAAGTAAACTGTTATAGTCACAGCAAAGGGTGCACTTTGTCTGCCACACTTTCAACATCTTATCTGTGATTGTTTTAGTATGTTTATAGTCAAAAATATTACATGGTTTCTCAAGCAAACAAAATTACTAAATTTAGTCATACAAAGTAAACATACAAAAACAATGTAAATATACTGCATCTTATTTCTTGTAGACTTTCATCATTGTGAAAACCACGCTCATCATGACTGCAACTTAAAAACAAGTTTCAAATTAGTCAAAACCTAATAAATAAACTTAATTTCAACTTCAGCATCTAGTCATTTAAGCCCTATACTGAACCTAAGCATTGTATTTAATTTTTAGCTTTTGTACAAGTTTTGAAAATACACACAGAAAGAAAACCTCAATTTTACTGACTGCAACTTGCGGCTACCCTTAATAACATTTCTCAAAAAACTTGGAAAACATTTTCCGTGTTTAAAGTATTAAATGAATTAGTATAATAACTACTGATGTCTCTTACTGAAAAACATTACAAACAAAACTTAAACTCACAGCTAGTTTAAAATCAACGCACAATGCTTTTTAAGAAACATTTATTTAAGTAGATGTTATTTTATTTTCTAACAAATCCAAATGTTTCAAGTATAAGTTCCATTTGGTTTTTAAGTTATATTAGCATGCTTTGCATATAAAGCCATATGGAAGAATTGTGTTAGTATCTAATTTTGTGTAATGCAAAAATTATTACATGTATTTTAGTTAGTATTATATGGTACATCTGTTTTTAAGCTTTTCGTGATCGAGCTTCTCATAGTGTGTGTAAATTTTTATTGTATACACATTTCTTGTACTAAAGTTTTCTTGTATACACCTTTCTTGTACTAAAGTTTTCTTGTATACACGTTTCTTGTACTAAAGTTTTCTTGTATACACATTTCTTTTACTAAAGTTTTCTTGTATACACATTTCTTGTACTAAAGTTTTCTTGTACTGAAGTTTTCTTGTATACACATTTCTTGTACTAAAGTTTTCTTGTATACACATTTCTTATACTAAAGTTTTCTTGTATACACGTTTCTTGTACTAAAGTTTTCTTGTATACACGTTTCTTGTACTAAAGTTTTCTTGTATACACATTTCTTGTACTAAAGTTTTCTTCTATACACGTTTCTTGTACCAAAGTTTTCTTGTATACACGTTTCTTGTACTAAAGTTTTCTTGTATACACATTTCTTGTACCAAAGTTTTCTTGTATACACATTTCTTGTACCAAAAATTTTCTTGTATATACGTTTCTTGTACTAAAGTTTTCTTGTATATGCACAACTTGTTTTTCCTCCTAATCCAGATCATTATTACTTATGATTAAGGGCTGATAACATGCAAGTGTAAGAGTAATTTCATTTCTTTGTTTAGCAGAGTACTCCTCCGAGAAGTGGAGAAAGGGTATGTTTCTATCATTCTGGACATTACCTTCATAAGCAACATCACTTAATTCACTGTTATAAAATTAGTGATTAACCAGATGTTTATTTAGTACAAGAAACGTGTATACAAGAAAACTTTAGTACAAGAAACGTGTATACAAGAAAACTTTAGTACAAGAAACGTGTATAGAAGAAAACTTTAGTACAAGAAATGTGTATACAAGAAAACTTTAGTACAAGAAACGTGTATAGAAGAAAACTTTAGTACAAGAAATGTGTATACAAGAAAACTTTAGTACAAGAAATGTGTATACAAGAAAACTTTAGTACAAGAAATGTAGGCAGATTTTGTTAAACAAGACCGATGTCTGTAGGTTTACTTTCTTCTTAGAATTCTTCTCAAGAAGTCGATAAGCCGTCTTAACGTTGTTAGAACAACGGGTAAAAGTTGTAGTT